GTGCGCGCCCAAGATCTGAACCCGGGCCGCCAGTAGTGGAGTGTACGCACTTAACCGCTAAGCCACGGGGCCGGCCCGATCCCTCATATTCTAATTGCTTGTTTAATTAAAGTCCCCACAAACTCACTATGTGCTATTGTTAAATATTTTTATAATAAATGAAATAGTGGAAGTTATAAGTAAGTAAAATTAGACTATAGAGGTATCTGTTTTTGTTGACTGCATCTTTATTTCAACTAGATATATTACTGTAGCTTCAGTTGTATATATTGTATTTTAATAACTTGTTATTTGCTTTTATAATGGTTATGATTTGTCTTTTAAATCTTGCTTACTAGATATTGCAGTATTTCTAGAGAGCATCTACCATTTGTTTCCATATTAAATATGAATTGAAGACAACATGGTATAAATCAGAAGTTAGCAAACTGTCTTGGTTCATGGTGCCCTTTATAAGTTAGTAATATTTTCACAGTGCTCATAGGCCAAAAGAAATAAAAATATTTAACAGGTCCTTTTACTAAGTAGTTAGGTCCAAACAACTTAATATGTATTTGTCCTAATAACTTAGTAGCTTTTGGAAAAAAATACACAAAAATCTAAAGAAAGAATGATATTTTTATTTCATTCTTAGATAACCAGTTACTGACTAATAGAATATGTATGCCTATCGAGCACTACTCAAATTCTCAAACCTTGGAATCAGATTGGACACCTCCACATTCATTTTCTGTTCTACCTTGATTTTTGAGTAGTACTTTGCAAAGATATGAAGTCGTTGAAAGGAGTATAATGTTAAAACTGGAAACTATCTTGAGCTAGTATCTTGCGGTATCTGATAGATGTCTCTGTGTTTCTCAATAATTTTAAATATTCTGTGAGTTCACTGTGGCATCTTTAGGACACAGCACACAATTTGGGAAACTCAAGTATAAATAATTGTCTTGAACTAATAAGTGTTTCTTTGACTATTATTTTAAAAAAATGTGTTGAAGTGTGTCTTGGAAAAGATATAGAAGTGCAAAAGTAGAAAAGTGTTAATATCAAAATATCTACCTCATGGATTTGTTTTTTTTTTTTTTTTTTTTTTTTGTGAGGAAGATCAGCCCTGAGCTAACATCCATACCAATCCTCCTCTTTTTGCTGAGGAGGACCGGCTCTGAGCTAACATCTATTGCCAGTCCTCCTCCTTGTTTTCCCTTTTTCTCCCCAAAGCCCCAGTAGATAGTTGCGTGTCATAGTTGCACATCCTTCTAGTTGCCGTATGTGGGACGCGGCCTCAGCGTGGCTGGAGAGGCGGTGCGTTGGTGCGTTCCCGGGATCCAAACCTGGGCCGCCAGTAGTGGAGTGCACACGCTTAACTGCTAAGCCACGAGGCCGGCCCCCTACCTCATGGATTTTATGTTACCAAAATCTGTAAGATAGAGACTTTGATATTAAATACATTTTTTAAAATGTGCTAGAAGCGGACAAGTGTTTATAAGCAAATCCTGTGATCTACTTTCAATCCACGTGATCAGTGCACTTGGTTGTGTCTTGCTTTATAGATTCTAACTGTATCAGTCAGAGTTCTTCAGAAAAATAGAACCAGTTGTGTACGCGTGTGTGTCCGTATGTGTAGAAAGAGAGAGATTGAGAGAGAGTATGTGTATATACACACACACACATATACACAGAAAAAGAGAGAGATTTTAAGGAATTGGCTCACATGATTGTAGGGACTGGCAAGTTCTAATTTTGTAGGGCAGGCTGAAAATTCAAGCAGGATTTCTGTGTTGCAGTTTTGAGGCAGGATTTCTTCTTTTCTGAGAAACCTTAGTTTTTGCTCTTAAGGCTTTCGCATGATTGAATGAAGCCCAACCCACATTATCTAGGGTGATCTCCTTTACTTAAAGTCAACTTATTGTAAATGTTGATCACATTTACAGAATACTTTCACAGCAACATCTAGACTAGTATTTGACCAAACAACTGGACACCTTAGCCTAGCTGAGTTGACAAGTAAAATTAACCATCACACTAACCAATTCCATATTATGTTTATTTTTCATATAGCATACAGATATCCTGGGAAATGATTCGTTTGTTTGCCTTTGAAATTCTGCAAGTTGAGGTTGCAACCTGTCATTTCCTCTGAAAGTAGCAACAAATCAGTCCAGCAAATTGTACTCTCAGCATTGAACTCTAATCATCCAGCTGAATAAACTATAACCTAAGTACAAGTTGACAGTTTTGAAAAATGCATGTACTTTTAGTGTACCAGGAAGAGTGTTTTGGGTTGGTGATTTACTAAATGAAGTTACTAAAATCACTCCTTGGCTACATACTGGTTTTGAACAAATCTACTTAGCTCAGAATTAATTGGCTCTCAAGATTATTTAGAGTAATTTTCTGGTTTTGCTCAAATTATTCTTTTCCAGCTCAAGGCTTGCCCCAAATGCTGGTATTCCAGTTCTGTGGTTTGCTGGAATTGAACTTTAACCATGCCCTATGAGATTTTAGCCTTTAACAGTACTATCCACAAATAAATAGTGTTTCAGATCTTTTGAGATACCTCCTCTTATTTTTTTCAGATGGACCAGCTTTTGGGAAATATGATTGAAATGTGGGTTGATCGCATGGACAACATTACCCAGCCTGAAAGGAGAAAACTTTCAGCTTTGGCTTTGCTTTCTCTTCTACCATCTGATAATAGGTGAGGAAATGTTTTCTTAAAATTATGTTTCTTTAAAGCATCAAAATATGAGCACTATTTTTGGCCATTGGTATTGCTGTGTGTTGCTGGGTAGTGTTATTTTATGTATGTGTATGCTGATTTTGTTAGTAGATAATGATATGGTTCAAGTGTTGGTCTAGATCTAAAAAGATGTGAATGGGAATGGTGGGCATTGTGGTTTAACTTGATTGTATTATTTTACCAATTTTTTTTATTCTTGTCTGAATTTTAATTTGTTTTATAATCAGATTTTATTAGACTTATTTTAGGTCCTCTTTTTATGTAGATATATTAAATATATAATATTTCAATATCAATAGCACTTCATAAAGTATATTATTTTCCTGGTAATTCAAAAGTATGTTACATAATTTTGTTATTTATTTTGGATTATCTCTAAAGAAGCTTGCAAGTTGTTTTTTTCTCCTTATATAGATGAAGTCATTCTTAGGCTTTATGAACTCAGTTAAAATTCTCATTTCCATAAAGCAAATACAAAATGCTTTGATTTGGACATTTAAAGAAGAATATCTGCTTTCTTTGTTTTTATCCTGTCTTTGTGGAATTTGGCATTATATGCTTTAATTATTTTTTTTGTGCTTTCAATTTTAAAGGCATAGGCCTTAAGTCTTGATACTGTGTGAGAAGAATAATGATAATATATTGTTAGATCTTTATGTCTTAGGGAATTTTTAGACCATGTACATCCTTGTGATAAATTAATGAAATAAATCCTTAAGTTAGCTTTAGAAATCCTTTTTAAAAATTTATGTTCAATTTATTTCTAGTACAGTCATTTGAATTAAGGACATGGGTAATTGTTTTGTCCTCATACTGAAACAATAGATAATAATTATGGAGCACTTACAGCGTGCCTTATAGTTTTCTCAGTACTTTACATTTATATCTCAATTTTTAAAACAGTCCCAAGGTGTAGGCATGATTATCCTGTTTTTATAGAGCAAAGAAATAATTTAGAAATGTTAAGTAACTTGCCTAGGGTGTGGTATGTGGCATGTCATAGGGCACAGTTTGACCTTGGGCATCTTGATGTCAGGACTTGCTCTTTTAACTACCAGGTGATGCTGCTTCCCAGGTGGATATGCATAAGACCAACATATTTCCTTGCTGTGAAATTGAGTGGCATCTTATTTATTTTTGGAAACCAAATTTAAGCTACTTACATTTTAACTTATTGCTGTTTCCCTTTCTCTTATTGGAAAAACAGTGACTTGAGAATTATTCAGGCCTTTAAAATGGAAATGTTAAAGGACCTGGTCTTTGGCAGTAGTCAACATTCTGTAGACGTTTGTTGAATAAATTAATGAATGGAAAAATATTAAGGTTAATAAAGCATGTTAGAGTTTTCTCTAACATGAAGTACTGAGATTATTGAGAGAAAACTAAAAATGACACAGGTTAAGTGTAGAAAGATATCTAATTGTATCTAAACCATATTTGTTTTACATTTTGTATGAGAATACTTCAATATTTTATGTAAGTATATAGTTCAAAAATATTTTTGATATTTAAGTTGTGGAAATAGTTGGCTTCTCCAGGGAAAATTAAGGCTTCTGTAAGTCTGAGGAATACTTAGACTGGAGCTCGTGTCAACCTATATATATAAATTGAGGGGCAGACCTGAAATTCTCTTAAACTTTAAAATTTCAAATTTAAAAGTTGTGAGGAGATAGTTTTGTGATAGGAAGATCATATCTTATTTTTGTTTTTAAAATGAAGTATTGGGGCCAGCCCACTGGCGTAGTGGTTAAGTTAGTGAGCTCTGCTTCAGTGGCCGAGGATTTGCGGCTTCAGATCCCAGGCGTGGTACTGCACACCGCTTATCAAGCCATGCTGTGGTGGCATCCCACATACAAAATGGAAGAAGATTGGCACAGATGTTAGCTCAGGGACAGTCTTCCTCACCAAAATAAATAAATAAATAAAATAAAATGAAGTATTGAAAAATCGGTTGGGCAGTAGTGAATTTATGCATTTTAAGAGTACCAAGAAAGTCTTAAATAATGTGGTAATAGAATTTTAAAGAATAATGATTTAACTTTATAATGTCCTTAATGGATTTAGTGACTAAAGAAACATTGATTGATACAGAAAATGTAATGATCTGGAAAACAAACTAAAAAGCTTAATTGCTCTGGAAGTTTGCCACATAGTCATGGGCCCATGACAAAACTTAGGAAGATTTATATTTATATGCTTTAGTGGAAGGTCATGTGGACATTTAGATCAGCAGGTTTATCGTCTCCTGTTCTAACTTTTCTTTTACTTACAACTACATGGTTGTTGGAGTTTGGGGAAATTCTGCCCCCCCCCCCCGCATCCTGGGTGATATTTCCTGGTTAATTTCCCACATAATAGTAATTTCCTGTTCCTGTGTATGTTTTAGACTTGGCAGTATAACATTTCCCTTTTCTGAAATAAGCAGGTATAGAGAATGATGTTGATAATGATTTTTTGAATCAGGCTAAATTGGGAAATGTTTTTTTCTTCTCCTTTTGTTATAATAGATTTTCAAATGCAGAAATACACTGTTCTACAGCAGAGTTTCTCAACCACAATGCTAGTGACATTTGGGTCCAGATGATTATATGTAATAGGGACTGTCTTGTGCGTTGTAGGATGTTTAGCAGCATCCTGGCCTCTACCTACTCGATACCAGTAGAACCTCCCACCCCTAGTTTAGAATCACTGCTCTAAAGAATGACCATTTGAGAAACTGTTAAACTCTGTTTTACCCTAATCCACTACTTCTGGTTCAGAATTTGGTAAAGACTATAGACTTTAGAACCATACTCAAATCCCAGTGCCACTAGTCACTTGCTGGTGACCATATAGCCAAGTTACTTAACTTCCCTGTGCCTAAGTTTTCTTGTTTTTGAAATGAGGCTACTAACAGTGTTATCCAAATGAGAGTATTATAAAGATTAAATGAGTTTACATGTAAACGGTCTGGATGGATGAGGTTAGCTCTTCTTATTTCATCCCTTTCTTCCTCTGTCCCTCTCGCATCCATCCATCCATCCGTTTACTGCAGTACAGAGTTCTAAAAGCTTAAGTCTGTGTGTACATGCATTCATTTTAAATTCGGTACATTTTCAGGTGTATTGAGTATTTGTATACCTGTGCATTAATTCATTAAAAAAAAATGTGTTAACCATATATGTTCTAGGGAGTGTCACCTTCTCCTTGATGATCTTTTGTAGTGTTCTCTATTATCACAACTTAAGGATACATGATTTTCTTTATCTCTATTCTATACATTCTTGTTATATCTTCTTGGTCACCTTCTGAACATAGTGCAGCCTTTTTCTTTGTTTTTTAATTGTTCAGTGCAACTGTCTTGTTTCCTTTTTGTTTTACTGTTTCTTTAGCTGGAATAATTCCAAGTTTGAATTTCCTCCCCTTCTTAGGGTCTGTATTATTTATACATAGTGGGAGTAATATTTTCTTCAGCTAATTTTTATACGAAAATAACGTTATTTACGTATACTTCTTTCAATGTTTTGTCAGAGAGTTTTCCTTGAAAGACATAGATTAAACAAAAACTATTGCTTGTAGATGAGAATGAGAATAATCAGACTTTCCTTTAACTTCTGTTCTTTAAAGTAGCAATTCATCCTTGATCTTTGAAGACACATTTTTATAATGTAGTTCTAAGAATTTCAAATGCTTTGAGACCAAGTGTTTTAAGAATTTTGAGTTGCGTGTGTGTTTTTTTTTAAGTTTAAGGAAGTCACCAATGGGGAATATTTAACCGTAAGCTAGTTGAATAATTCAAAGAGATTGGCAAAGCAACTGGGTTTTTAGGTGTGATGGCTTGCTTTCCAGGAGAAATGGCCTTATAATAAAGTCCTCTGGGTATCAGATTTACTAAGCTTTCGTGGATTGGACACTTAGTACCTCTCCATAATGCTCATTTATCTCAAGAATAGTATATAAAATATCAGCATTTGGAAATATTAAGAATTTTCTAAGATAATTTTCTAAGTCATTTTATAACTTTTAAAATGTTAGACTAGTAGAATCAAGATAACAGGTTCCAAAGAGTTGTATTTTGGTATGGTTTAAATATACTTAAAATAAAAGGCAGTTTACAGTTTTTAAATTGTGCACATGTTGTTTTACCTGAATTATGCTTGGTTTAAACTGACTATTCCTAAGTGAGTGTTTAACATAATAGAATTTTATTTTCATCCTTTAAAATAGGATGTGTCTTTTACTCCTAGGTCCTGTATTCTTATTTAGCATTTTATAGTATTTTCTTTTATCTGTAAATCCTTAACCTAAGCTTTTCTACAGTAAAAATTACTTCCCAATTTTTTTGTGTTTCACACGAAAAATGTCTTAGAAATATCTTTTTCGTGTGTGTGTGGTAACAGCTTTATTGAGATATAATTTACAGACCATACAATTGACTGCTTTAAAGTGTACAAATTCAGTAGTTTTTAGTATATCCACAGAGTTGAGTTGGGCAGCCATCACTGCAGTCAATTTTAGAACATTTTCATCACCCCAAAAGGAAGCAGGTGCTCTTTAGCAGTCTTCATTCTCTCATCCCCCCAGCCCTAGGCAATCACTAGTCTACTTTCTGTATCTATAGATTTGCCTATTCTGGACATTTCCTATAAATGGAATCACAGTATGTGGTCTTTTTTGACTGACTTCTTTCAATTTGTATGTTTTCAGGATTCATCCATATTGTGGCTTATGTCAGTATTTTATTTCTTCTTATGGGTGACTGATATTCTGTTGTATGGATATATGACATTGTGTTTATCCATTCATCAGATGATGGACATTTGAGCTATTTCTACTTTTTTTTGGCTATTATTAATAATGTTCCTATTATTCATGTACAAGTTTTTGTTTAGATATGTGTTTTCATTTCTCTTGGGTATTGCTGGGTCATATGGGACTCTTAAAACCCTTTGAGAAACTGCCAGATAGTTTTTCAAAGT